AGGAACGGATTGTTTTATGTGGTTTAAGAAATGGAACAATTTGTTTTCTGCATGTTCATGTCTTGGAATAATTATCAATCTTTAAATAAAGATGACAACTCTCTTCTGGCTATGAATTTGTTTTCTGGATGTTCATGTATGATGATGAGTTAACTGCTGAAATCTTTTAACACGTGAGTTTTCCTATATTCAAGGGCATGGATAAAATGTTTGCATAACCCTATTCCTTCTCTTGAGCATTGTTGCCCTGTAGTCATAGTTCATATTCACCTATCTTAAGATATTTGGTCCATTTTTTCCATGAGAATTGATTATTCAATCAAAGTGGTTATTCTTTTTCTGTTGATGCAGGAGATGAAGAGTCAGTGTGATGAGAAAAAGTCCGACTGTATCTTTTGTAAGACTAGAATAGTCTCTATAAGTAGTTAGTTTATTCATATGCTTCTGCGATTTTTGAATTAATTTGTGTTTTCATTTTTCAGGTCAGAAATTTCTTGGAGAGATGCAAAATATGGTCAAAGAATTAAAGAACTTAGATTTCTAAGTTTTTTCATTTTTTAATATATGTAAGCACAAGTAAATTTTTTTTATTTAATTCCTTTGGATATACTTTTGAACATTTAATTTTCATTTATGAAATATATAACGTTATTTCATTCAATATGTGGTTATGATTCAAAGTATAGTATATAGTGTGTATAAAATAATAATATTGATTATTTTTTAAATATGTCGAACTCTTTTTTTATCACAGATTTTATTAGTTATTAATCACACTTAAAAGATGTGATAAATGTTGTTAATCACACTTAAAAGATGTGATCTAAATATTTTTAATCACCCTTAAAATGTATGATCTAAATGTTACTAATCACACTTAATCTAAATATTTTTAATCACACTTAAAATGTGTGATCTAAATGTCATTAATCACACTTAAAAGGTGTGATCTAAATGTTATTAATCACACTTAAAAGATGTGATCTAAATTTTTTAATCACACTTAAAAGGTGTGATCTAAATGTTATTAAGCAAACTTAAAAAGTGTGATTAAAAATAACCCTTTTTAATCACACTCCCAAAGATCACATTTTAATAAAACTTAAAAGGTGTGATTAAATAACATACATCATACAAAAAAAAGTGTAATCTTTATCTATTTTTGTAATAGTATTTGTTGGAATTTGAACAGATATATATTAACTTTAATAACACACACAATATATATATATATATATATATTACACTAACTGTCAGGTAATACATTTTGTTCTTTTACTTCGTGGATCCTTTTGCAATGCAAAACTCTTTAACTTTGTGAACTTTATTTTTCGTTTTTCTATTTCAAGAAAAATAAGTCTACAAAGTGAGTGTATATCATTTTCCTTCTACAAATGTTATTGTTGAACTTTGTTTGGTTTAAAAAACTTTGTAATGTTTTAATTAATATGGTATTGATCTTTATAATAGCTAGTTGCTTTATGAGCCTTTGTTTGTTTATAAAAAATTATTTAGTTTTTTTTTTAATAGCTTATGTATATGGTCCGATAGACATGTTTGAGAATTAAAATTTATTTAGGATTGGGCTTTCGATGATTATATAGGCCCAATGTTTGGGCCGAGCAAAATTAAATAAACACAAAATCCTTTATTAAATAGTGCCAGGCCAGCCCAACCCAGGAAATGACCACCATTACTGGTTGCCATCGATTGTCATTTTATTGCTATTTGAAAATTCATAAGAAAATTTATAATCCAGTGATCTCTTCCTAAAATATTTACAAATTTATATAAAAAAAAATGATTCTAATTATTAAATTAATAAAGTATACCATTGGTTTGAATTTTTTTTTTTACAAACTTCTACTGAATTTCAATTTCTCCAAATTCATAATACATGCCAATTTATTATAGGCTTGCTAATCAATATGCGAGCAATTCCTACACTATCTCACTGTCCCTCCATAACTCTTAGGTCATGTTTGATTGGGATTTTAGGATGAGGATTGGATTATCAATTTGTGAGACTCATGGAACCCATGTTTGTGTAAAATAAAATGAAATGGATTTATCAATCTCATAAGAGTATGAATCACTTCTCAAGGCGGGACTAACATTCTCATAGAAGGGTTCAGATTGTTAATCTCCTCACACAAGTTGATAGTTAAAATATCCATATTGCTTGTCCTCTACTTTACAAAATCAACAAAATTATATTATATGGGAGGATTTTTAGGTAATTTTATATATTTAATTTTAACTAACTAATACAATTGCATTAGTTTACAAACAAATACATTTTATCTTACATCTCTAACCTAATATAACCACACTAATAATCTCACCGTACTAATAATCCCATCCAACCTAATTCGTCAAACAAACAAGGCTTAAGGTTTTTATTTTGTGTGTTTCATAAGGCACTACAACAGTTATCTGAACTGTTTATTTCGTAAACCTCAAAGGAAAGAAGATATATGAAAAAGATTAGTTTAACTAGATATCAATAAACATATTAATTTATCGTATTTCATTTTATGAAATAAATAGTTTTAGTTTAAATTATATTTATCATAAAATTTATAAAACTAAACATAATTAATTAGTGTGTTTATCAATTTTTGATCAAGTTAATTTTTATGTATATATTTTTCTTTTCAAGGTCTATGAGATGAAAAGTTTAGATCATCGTTGCGAAAGCCCCACGGGACCTACAAAAACAAGCCTTGCGGGTTATGGAGAAAAAAGAATCTTAAAGGGAACTATTTATAGTCTTTAGGAATAGTTTGATTAGTCAAAATTTCAACATCTCACTAAAAATTACCAGTTGAAATCTCCCCACTTATTTATGAAATTTAGATTAGATTTCATCAGGAAAAAATAAAATTTCTTAACTTTCCTTCAATACAATAAAATTGTTAATTAACTTAATAAATAATTAAGGAAAGGATCATTTGTTACACGATTAAAATTTTTAAAACCACATGGGGCCATTTATATTTTGAGCAAATCTTAGTGTGAACAGTTTCATGTAAATCATTTATTTTAAAACCAAACACCTTCAAAGATAATATTTATTTAATTATATTTTTAGCTCATAAAACATGAGTTCTGTATCATTTTAATTTCTAATTTTTAATATTTTTTTTGGGTCAAAGATAACGTATTAGTATAATTAAATTCCAATTGAATAGAGTTTTATACGTTCGAACCCTTAAATGCTCACTCACCCCATCTTAGGCCACACCCCAAAGGTCTTTTACTTTCAATATTTAAACTGTGTTAAAAATATTATAATTTAATTCTCAACAGTTAAATTACGTGAATTTAATGTTTAATATATATAAATTATTTCAATTTAATCTCTTATTTTAAATATGTTAATTGACGCACTATAAATATTGAGAATCTTTCCTGACTTTATAGGCCCATGTATGTGTCCTTTGCATACAATAATTGTCCATAAACTTTTGTAGCCACAAACTTTTTTTTCTTTCTTTTAACTTTTCTTTCATATGGGTGCACCCCCAACATTTTTGTGATGCAATAAATTAATAAATTTTATAAATCTTTTTACTTGCACGAATTATTCTGATTAAATTCCATTTTAAATACACATTTATGTGCCACACCAATAAATAAAATATAAGATAAATATATTTAGAGAAAATATCATTTTGTTCACTAAGTTATTACTCAATAATCAATTCAACCCTTTTTTCATAATACCAATTTTATATCTAAATTATTTGATTTTGCATCAATTTTACTCCACCGTCAATTGTCGTTAATGATCAAACGGAAGTTGCTGATGTGACACCTAAACTTCATTTGAAATTTAGTTTTACTCCCCAAACTATTTCCACAATGTCAATTAGACCCTTAAATAAAATGAAGTTCGGGGTGTAATTGATAATCTAGAGATAGTTTGGGGTAAAATAAAATTTCAAACAAATATTTAGTGTCACGTCAGCACTTCTGTTTGATTATAAATGGTAGCTAACGATAGAGGTAAAATTGATTAAAAATCAAATTGTTTAGGTGTAAAATTGATATTATTAAAAGAATATGGGTTAAATTAATTTTTAAAATGATACTTTAGGCAGTAAAATGATATTTCCTTATATATTTATCATTCTTAAAGTACGAGATTTATGTTACTTTAATTCTTTAAATTTTAATTTTTTCAATTTTGTCTTTAAATTTTTTAATTTGAATAAAATAGGTCCAATTTCAAATTGGCACTTAAATAGTTATCAAAACAATTACAAATTTCAACTATGATTTCTAAATTATATGTTTTGTGTAATATTAATTCCGTCTCTCAATATTATAAAATTATATTTTATTTTCATCATTAATATTTCAAGATGAAATTGTCAGAATTAATAACTTTGAAAACCAAAGTGTATTTTATTATCATTTTATTAACTTTAGACAGTCCATTTGAAATTGGATCAAAGTAACTCAAATTAAAAAAAAAAAATTAAACACAAAATTAACAAAATTAGAACTTTAAAGTATTATAAATACATATTTAAAAAAATATAGAAATTTTATTAATTTATATCACATTTGTTCTTTTCCTTTTTCATGGCCCACTGAAGTGACAAAAAAACCTATCATCAAACTTTTTCTTGGTTTCACAATAACCATTTACTTCTCTTTATTGACAAGGGTGGACCACACACACATCATGTCACAGTGTCATTCGGGGAGACTTTGTGCGGTCAAGGATACCGACGCTGGGATTGGATCACATCGGCAATGGCAAAGATGCCCTTCAACAAGTCCCTTGAAAGTCCCTTGCCATTGTTTCCAAGAAGAAACCATCCATAAGGTATTGGCTTAAAACTTAAATTAAATCCCTCTTCTTTTTCAATCAAAGAAGTTCTTTGTTGTAGGAAGTAATTAAGCCCTTACATTTTCCACCTTCTTGAGATCAAACCACCCAAATTCAATACGTATACAGAGTGTACAAAAGAACATAATTGCCAAGGATGGTTGATGCTGTTGTCTCTTCCGTAGTGCGGAGACTTGGTAGTCTTCTCATTGATCAAGTAAATTTTTTGCAAGGAGTGAGAGATGAAGTCAACTATCTGAGAACCAAATTGGAATACATGTTGTGTTTCTTGAAAGATGCAGAAGAAAAACAAGATCAAGACAGTAGGATACGCAAATGGGTATCCGATATTACAGATGCTGCTTACGAAGCCGAGGATATTATTGACAAGTTTATTCTCAAAGTTGAAGAAGGAGGGATTCCCAAAAGGACAGGGTTCAAAGCTTGCCTCAGAAAGTACTTGTGCATCTACAAACAAGCAAACAAATATGGGATAGGAAAGGAGATTCAAGAATGGAAGAATAGACTCGATGAAATCGATCGAAATCATGAAATTTTCAAGATTAGAAATATCAAAGCTGCTGGGGAGGGATCAAGTAAAATGAATGAGAGATTCAAGCAACTACGAAGGACAACACCTTATGAAGACGACCAACATGTTGTGGGCTTCACGAAGGATGTTGAGTTACTGACATCTGAACTTCTCCAAGAAACGCCCCATCAATGTGTGATTTCGATTGTGGGCATGGGCGGTTTGGGTAAGATGACCTTAGCTTGAAAACTTTACAACTCTCGCAGTGTTGGAGATAAATTTAAGCTTAAAGGTTGGGTTTCTGTATCCAAGGATTACAACATCCAGAATCTTCTTCGAAAAACAATAAATCTTTCAAGATGCCAACCAGCAAAGATGAATTGGAGATGTTGGAAAAGATGGAAACAGAAGATTTGGAGTGCCATTTACATGAGTTGTCGAAAGAAAGTCGATACCTGGTGGTGATTGACGTTGTATGGGATACAGATGCTTGGGCAAGCTTGAGGAGAGCCCTCCCAGACAGCAAGAAAGGAAGTAGAGTAATTATCACCACTCGTATCAAACTTGTTGCCGAGAGTTCTGGTAGGAGAAAATATGTTCATGAGCTTCCATTTCTACAACCAGAAGAAAGTTGGGAATTATTTTGTAAGATAGTAGTGTTTCCGGACTATGATGGGGTCGATGATAAAACAAATCGTTGTCCTCCAAGGTTGGAGGAATTGGCAAGAGATATGGTCAGAAAATGCCAGGGCTTACCCCTGGCCATAGTCGTCTTGGGTGGGCTATTGTCAAGAAAACATCCCCATGAGTGGCCCAAGTTGCAGGGCCGTTTCTGGCAGCATGTAAGCGGTGATGACTTTGAAAGCCATGACTCGGCTCATGTTACACAAATATTGGCTTTAAGTTTCACCGATTTGCCTCATCACTTGAAGTTGTGCTTTCTTTAGTTGGGATTGTTCCCTGAAGATTTTGAAATTGAAGCAGACAGACTTATACGGTTATGGGTGGCAGAAGGTTTCATACAACAAGCAGAAGGAGAAACTTTAGAGGAGACAGCTGCAGAATTTCTAAATGAGCTGATTGAAAGAAATTTGATTCAAGTAGCTGAAAGAACCTGGATGAGAATTAGAAGATGCCGAGTTCATGATCTTCTTCGGGATTTTGCAATTGAAAAAGGAGTTAAATTTCCTTCATATCTACGATGGAAATGTTTATTCCGCACCCTCTCACTGCAAGCATCGAAGACTAGCTTCTCATAGCTATGGATTAAAAAAGTTTGCTTCCTTTGATCAGTCATCAAATTTGCATTTACGAACTCTTTTGTTCTTCAACTCGGAAAATGAATCTGCCCAAATAGGGGAGTTACAATTTCTGTACGAAAAATTGAGATTGTTGAGAGTGTTAGATCTTGAGGAAATTATATTCAATCATTCCCAAGAAACAGAGCATGGAAGCTTGCTTGATGCAATAGACAAATTGATTCACTTGAGGTACTTCAGGATAAGTGACTTCAAAATGAACAAGATTCCACCATCCATAGGTAACTTGCAAACCCTACAAACCCTGGAATGTTCCGAATTTCGTACCTCAATTATGTTACCAGATGAGATATGCAATGCAAAGCAGTTGAGACATTTAATTGGATGCTTCAAGTGGCCTTTCCGAGTGGAAAACCTAACAAACCTTCAAACTCTAAACTATATTGAGGTTGATGACCGGATGGAATTTAATCCATCAAGGGATTTAATCAATCTTCGTGAGCTTGTGGTAATATTTAATGGAGAAAGCAGGGGGTTCACTCTAGACTCTATTGGTAGATTAAGAAACCTTCAAAAATTATATCTAGAGTTTAGGGACACTGTTTGGAATCCTACACTGCAACCACTTTCTCACTGCCAGCGCCTCCTTCAATTGAAGTTAGATGGAAGAATAGGAAAGCTACCAACAGAGATGCATGAATTCTTACCGAATCTCAAATACCTCTCCTTGTTTGGATCAAACATGGAGGAAGATCCTATGCCGTCATTGGAGAAGCTTCCAAAGCTGACAATTCTTGACTTGTGTTTCTGGGGAGTAAATAAGTATGTTTGCACTGCAGGAGGGTTCCCTCAACTCGAAATTCTATATCTTCTCGGGTGTCATGTGAAGGAGTTACAAGTGGATGAAGGAGGAATGCCTCTGCTTCGGGGTTTGTTCATCCCTAACAATCTTAGCATCCCAGAGAGATTAAGGTCCATCCCTGTCCCCAAAAATTGGGATGTCACATCGGCTCATGGCTGGCCCTACTAACAAAGAAAACAAGTTACAGGTGAGTAATAGTTGCTGCCAGAAAATATATTGTAAATAAAAGGTTTCCTTGCTTATAGATCACTTTTCTATGCGTTCTGGTTTAACTTAATAAAGCTTTTCAACTGGATAGGCTATAATAAAGTTTATTTGTTCCATGTATAATTAAATATATAGTGTATATATATATATGTGTGTGTGTGTGTTTTCTTAACAATGTATGTTTGGTAAACTAGATAGGTGAGTAGAGAAATCATAAGATTCACCTTGTTTGGTTTTAATTTTTTGAAAATTGTGTTTTTTTTAAGGAATTTTTTAAATATTTTTAGTAATTTTTTTTACTTTTTTTTGTATTCTTGTATGTTTATTGATTTTTTAAAATATTTTTTTACAAATATTTTACTTTTAAGGTACATCTAGGTTAGGTACATGTAAAAAGTAAAAAAAAAAAAAAGCTTAAAATATTAAAAGCATGTATTGAATTTTCTTTTTCTTTTCTTTTCCTTTTTTTTAATTTTATATATTTGGAATTTAGTGAATTTTTTTTAAAAAAATTCACAAATATTATACTTTTTATTTGTATTTATATTAAGTGTATCTAAAAATTAAAAAAATTGCTTAAAATATTAAACAAATTCACTAAAAACATGAAAAATAAAAATTCAAATTTCAAAAAATTGAATTTAGAAAATTGGAACTAAAAAAGGTGATTATGATTTCTCTTCTAGTACTTTGGTGAGAAAAGAAAAGAAAAGAAAAATTAAATAATTATGATTTCTCGTCATCGTGTTTAGATAAACCAAAATAAAAGAGAATACATGTGTATTGAGGGCCAAAAATTAGATTCACTTTTTAGCTCTCTCATTTATTCTTTAATTATCAACTAATTATCTTGTTGACACATTATTGGTCTAGAAAGTGGGTTTAGAAAGAGAAAACACGTCTTTTTATTATCAATACACGTCTTTGTATCTAGATAGACAGTTTAAGTATTTTGATTTTTTTTTTTATACAACTACTTTTGTTTTTCACCAAAATTGGTGAGAAACAAAACAAGAGTTTTAGGAGTTTTTTTTATTTTTATTTTTATTAAACTAATTCATATGTGGACTTGTTTTCAAAGAGCTTGTTTTCTTATCTGCCAAATGATGAATCCAAGCATTTAGTTCCTTGCTAGTTTAGTGAGTTAGACAAATGAAAAGGTTTCTCAAGAGAGATTATGATTCAATCATTCAATTATCTCAAAAATTATGCTTAGAAAATGGGATAATCCTGTTATAATATGCATTAGTTCCGATTTAAATTAATATTGACGAAATGTAAAAAGTAAGGCGGTAGTACTATATTTTAGATACATAGTTCCACCTTAACACATGTCCTACCTCAAGTGAGATAATCGATAGATAGCAATTGACCCATCTCATGTGTGTCACTCATGTGATAATTGATATTATTTTTGACATACATCTTTAAAAATTTTGTTTTTCATTTTTTATTTTTTAACACATTTCTTACATCTTAGTTTTCTTTCTTTCTTTCTTTTCCATTTTATTTATTTAACAGGAATGATAGTAGGAGGAAACAAAGAAAGTGGTTGGTGATGCTTGTGTGCCTGTTGTGCTGTTGGAGACAAGAAGTTCTTTTTATTTGTTTATTTATTTTCCTTCTATTTGTTGTCATGTTGGTTGTATTTGGATTTCCAATGACTTCTCTTTTTATTATTTATGTATAAAAGACTATTGTGTGATTACATTCTACTATTGACTGTTACTTTTTTAATTGTGATGATATATGTTGTCATGAACATTCATTCTATTGTCAAAATATATATTAACTATTTTAGTTGGCTTTTTAGTTATTTGATTATTGTAACTTGTCTAAAAAAGTTATGTTTGAAATGATAGTTGATTTTTTTTTTTTTTTTAGTATTTGATTTAATGATTGTGAGAGAAAAAAATTAAATAATTATAATTTGAATGTGACATTTTATCTTATTAACTATTTTAGCTTATTTTATCTTTATTAACTATTTTAGTCAAAAAAATCCTCCTTACCCAACTTCCCAAACACCCCTTATAGGGTGGTTAATAAGAAAGGCTATAAGAAGAGTCACTTTTGAGTTAAGCACTTCCACGAGCTCAAGGAGCACAAAGCCAAACAGAGCATGTTGCATAGAATTGGATGGTTAATAAGAAATGCTATAAGTAGTTGAACGGTTAAAACTTTGACATTTTTGTAGACTAGGGAAATATTGATCCAAAATCCACCACCACCACTACCGATAAGACCGCCACGGACACAAATCAAAGCCCCCTCTTTCACTACTGCTAAGTTTTGATGAAATTGAACTACAACCGATGATCAGAGTACTTAATTGTCAGTGAAGTGAGATGCACAATTCAAGTCAATATAATGGCGTCAAACCTACTATAGTAATCTAACTTTATTAACCTACTAGTATCATATCATGTGACACAATTTAAAAGAGAATTTCCCCTATTTTTCTCAATTATGGGGCTACAGTTTGGGCATCAAACTTGGTATTCACATCTCATTCATCTAATACTATGAAAATACTTAGCCAAAAGATACACTAACATCACAATCTTATTTTTGATATTAAAAGTCAAACCAACTTTCATTATAGACATAACCAAATATTACTTGTTAACTGCCACGAAGGACAGTTTTAGCAAAAACATGAGCCAGCTCGACTACCTGCCAACTTACCTTACATATATTTACATAATCAAAACTGTTAAGTAAAGATCAAATCTCCAAAATTAGCAGTTGTGAGGCCCAATCGCATGATGATGTACCACGAAGTTGTTCGACCAACCATAAGCAATCTGTGAAAACTTGGAGAACTCGAATATCCCAAACTTGACGCCATCGGAACACATCCAAACATGTGCAGGTTTTAGCCGCAGTGGCCACAATGTTATTAAGACAACACACCAAAGCTACAACAAACTACAAGAGGAAATACAAAATGACAAAAGCACTATTAACATTAATTCCATCACAAAAAAATATAAAGCCAATCACTTGGAATTCTTTGGTAGTGGTGTGTTTGCAAAAATTTACGAGACACGAGTAAAACTTTTATATATTCTAGGCCCCGCGATCTTGAGGATGGGCACTGCATTAGATATCTCTTTTAAATCATCTTCTGTGAGCTTCACTCTCAAGGCACCAATATTCTCATCAAGGTTTTTAATCTTAGTTGTCCCTGCAAATGTACAATGCGAGGTAAATACAACTTGACCATTCAAAATACAATATTAAGGAGCACATTTGGAAGTTTTGGTTTTGTTTTCAAAACTTGTTTTTTAAAAAATACTGAACACTAGTTTGGTGAAAATAAACACCAAAAATTCACAAGGATCTTTCTCTTAAATTGGTTAACAACTGATTTGATTGCATAAACATCCACTTGAAACAATAACAAAATATTATTAAAGCATTCAGTAAACATCCAAATATGATTAAAAAACCTCAAGAATTTTCAGAAAAACTAATAAAAACTAATCATTCAATGGAAGTTACATTTAATTTAATTCAAAAGCCAAAAAATATACTTCGGCAAGGTTTGGGTTTGATTGTAAGAAAGACCACAACCTCCTACTTATCGAACTAGTTACCAGGGAATTAAAAGTTTTCGAGGTTTGTTCAAGGATCCATTTCACCTTCTGGCAATCAAAATTTTGATTAGTCACTCATCGGGAATAGGCACCGTATCATCCCCTTGATGAAGAACCCATGCAAGTGCGAGTTGAACAGGGGTGCAGCTATGCTTCTTAGACAATTCTTCTAGTCAAAGATAAAAGATCTTGTTGTGATCTAAATTCTGCCCTGTAAACCTAGGAACTGCTAGCTGATGGAAAGAAAAAGTCAGTCATCCATTCATCTAGTTGTTTGACTAACCAAAAGGGGAAATGTCTGAATGAATTAACACTCTGTTTCAGCAAAGATTATTTTCCTATGGAACACATTTTCCAATAAATTTTTCATAGAAAATGTTTTCCTATCTTTGTTTGAGACCTTGAAACTAATGTACTAGTTGTTTGTTGTATTAGTGATGGTGTTGGTGGTTGTGGTGGGGTGTTGGTGGCTGTGGTAGGGTGTTGATGATGCCAGTGTGGCAGCATTGGTAAGACCTTATTTCGGAAAACGTTTTCCACCTTTCAAAAGTAGAAAATGTTTTCCGCCTAAGTAAACTTGTTCTCTATTGACCACAGTTAACGTTTTCAGTTCCCTTTGATTTTCCATTGTACCAAACGCCAAATAATGTGGAAAACATTTTCTAAAATACATTTTCTGCCAAAACAAGAGCATTAGTTCACAGAGATGATTTTTATCTAACATTAATTAAATTGAAGTAAATAAAAGACAAAGATCCAGTTCATTACCAAGAAGCTATCTGTGGGGACACTCTCCACAACTGCCTTGCCAGCAAAAAACCATGAGCAGTAGGAGAATATGGAACTAGAGCAATTCTAAGTTCCCTGATAACCAAAACATGGTTTAAAAAAAAATATGATGAAAGGAAATATCAAAACAAATTGGAAGTGTAACTGAAAATAGTAAATGGCTATAAGTTTAAGATGCAAATTTCAATAAAGAAGAAATCACTATAAAAAAATAAAATAAATTATTATAGGAAATTGAAGTTCAAACAGACAGTAGGGTGTCTTCTCCTGATAAACATATTTTTGTGAATAAAAAATGGCAACCCAGTACATGAGGCCAAAGCGAGGTCTTAGGAGGGCAAGATGCCCACAGCCTTACCCCTACTTTTGGAGAGGAGGTTTCCATAACTCGAATTTGGGCCACCAAGGGTGCTAACAGAAAGCCTTACTATTAAGTAAAGCCGCCCTTTCAAACATCTTTTTGCGGATGATTTTTTTATTTTAACAAAGAGCAACATCTGAACAGGAGCCCCAAAATTTTTGAATAAAATGTAAGTAAACTCAAGATGAAGATTCTTGGCCTTTCTTATC